CACCCAGTTAGTAGCGCTGCATCGGAACAGCCTCCCAGAGGCCAGCGCCAACCACCCTGATGAAGAACAGGTCCTGCGATGAAGTCTTCAGTGCCAATGGACAACTCTGACGAAGGAACAGGCAGCTATGGCTGCCACCACCCACGAACCACCACTGTAGAGCCTCGATACAGACCGGCCATACGCAGATACCCGCAGGGGTAGGTGCGTTGAGGATGCCCCAGCTATGGTAGACTCAGAGAGGGCCGGCTATGGTTGCTGTCACGGCGCGTCTCATGATGCTGCCTGTAGACAGGTACCGCCCCCAACTTGCTTGGCTTCTCCAATGCTGCTCGCGAGAAATGAACTGCCAAAAGTCCTAAACCAATGGACCTAACCTATCTATAGACTCTCTAGACCTAGACCGGACTGACTGACCGACCGGTACCGTTGCTGTTTCGGCCTCTCGGCCTCTACCGAACCCGGCTATAGGCTATAGGACCGTCTAACAGTATAGGCCTCTTAGGGCCTGTCTGTCCTAGGGGTAGCCCGGGCCTGCTATAGGCAGTTAGGGTAGCTGTAAGAATTCGGGTTAGTACTGGGCCCGTATTTTCCCAGATTTGCAGATCTGTCCCTCACGAATTTCCTTATAGGCAGGTCTCTCGGTTAGCCCTCAGCCAAACAAAATTACGAATCTAACCTACCGGGTTAGTGTACAGCCTCGCTGTCAATCTCGGCAGCACAAATCAGCAAGTCATTGCAGGCTTACCCTCCCCGGGAGCGAGGACCTCTGAGCTAGGGGTGCAGACGAGGCGAACGGCGAAGGTCACCCTTTTGAGCCGCCTCATAGCGCAGTACAACAGACTTTGCTGTCTTGATCAGGTCTCTTCTGTAGAACCACCAGTTCTCAGAAGGGGGTTGAAAAGCGAACCTGACAAGATACTGCCGGTCGGGGCCTGTGCCCCGCTCATCCTCAATCCATTCCACGTCATATCCCTTGCCAGGGATCGGTGGACCGAATTGAGGGGGTCGGTCTAGGAATGCATCAGCTGGCATGAAAGGCAGCAGCTTGGATGCATGGAAGATCGGGTAGGTGCGTAGATGCAGCGGGACGTCGATGACATACGACGGACCGAAGGGATCAGCGCCCACTGTATCTAGGACCTGCCATGGACCCAGGTAACGTGGCAACAACTTGGGGGAGATATCCTCCTTCCTCGACAGCTCAGAGCTGGCTACCCAGACATGGTCACCAGTGCGGATGGGGGAAGGCCGCCTGTGGCGATTGGCTTGTTCAATCATAGCATTTTGGGCTTTGAACAAGTTCGTGCGGGCTCTTTCCACATCTAAACGATAACGTCTGGTGAACTCGGTTGTGCCTGGCGTCAGATCAGGCTTAGCCTTATCGATGATATCATTGAGAGGCTGTCCTGGTTCACGCCCCCAGTGTAACCGGTAGGGACTGGACCCTGTCGAGGAGTGGACATACATGTTATACACGAGTTGTGCCCTCGCTAAGTGAAGATCCCAGTCCTGTTGATCTGGAGAGATGACAGGATGCAGCAGCTGGAATAAGGCTTGGTTCATCATCTCAACCAACCCATTGGCCTCAGGGTGATGACCAGAGGTCATGTCCAGTCGTGAGTGCAGATAGTCCTTGCAGTAGGACTGCCACTCATCGCGGCAAAATCTGGGGTCTCGGTCACTGACTACAGAGGTGGGCGGTCCATGGTGTGTGACCCACCTCTCAGAGAAGGCTGCTCTCACAGCCGGTACCCTAGCTACCACTGGCAAGGGGATGAACTCTGCGTATTTGGAGAACCTGTCCACGCAAACCATCACCTGACGCATACCACGAGGGGTGGTCTTGTCTAAATCTGTGAAGTCTATCGACACAGATTCAGCAGGGCCATCCGATATGGGTAATGGTTTGAGTAATCCCAAAGGAGGTTTACGCTGAACCTTGTTCCTTTGGCAGAGCTCACAGGTATCCACATAACGCAGCATCTCACTCCGCATCTCCTTCCAGAAGAAGCACTGCGACAGGGCTGCATAAGACTTTAGGAACCCAAAATGTCCTCGGGCATCATGACACTCTGACATCAGCAGTGTTCGGAGCCGCTGGTCCTGAGGAATGCACAAGCGCTCCTCACCTCTGCTGTAAGTATACAGCAGGTCAGAACTCAGAGCATAGCCTGGTTCAGAGTTAGGATCTGCTTGCAGATTCCTGACTATGGGCCCAAAAGTCTCGTCCTGAGGCAACAGACGAGCAATGGTCTGACGGGTCTCCTCTCCAAAGGAGTGAGTAGAGGAGATCAGAGCAAAAGAGTCAGGCCTACGAGAGAGGGCATCTACTACCTTATTGTAGCAGCCCTTCTTGTGTTTCAGTTCAAAGTCAAACATGTCAATGAACCGAATGTACCGTGCTAACTTATCATTCAACTCTCCCTAGGACTTCATCCACTGCAGGGTGGAGTGATATGAAAAAGATCTTGAAGTGCCTGCCCAGGAGAAAGTGCTTCCAATGTTTCAGGGCACAGACAAGAGCATATAGCTCTTTCTCGTAGGTAGAGTCCTGGAGCTTTCGAGTCTTGATCTTCTTACTCATGAACTCTACAGGTCGTAGACCATTCCCATCATCCTGCTGAAGAACTGCCCCAATGCCATACTGACTGGCGTCAGTAGTCAGGATGAATGGCAGAGTGGGGTCAGGTAACTTCAGTACAGGCGCACGAGTCAAGGCCTTCTTGAGTCGTGTGAAGGCCAACTGACAGTGGAGGGACCAAAGAAAGGGAGTGTCTTTCTTTGTTAGGTTAGTCAGGGGTGCAGCCACTGCAGAAAAGTTCATGACAAACTTCCTGTAGTAGGAGGCCAAACCCATGAAGGACCGGACATCCCTCACTGTCTGAGGTTGAGGCCACTACTGAATAGCAACAATCTTGGCTGCTTCAGGAGCCAGACCATCTCCAGAGATTACATGACCCAGATAGATGACAGAGGGGACTCCAAAAGAGGACTTCTCTCTGTGGATCTTATATTGGCTGTCACGTAACGACTGAAGAACTAGAGCTAAGTGCTCCGCATGTTCCCTGGCAGTTTTGCTGAATACCAGGATATCATCCAGGTAGACAACCATAAACTTGTCCAGGTAAGGCCTGAAGATGCGGTGCATCTCTGTCTGGAATGTGCCTGGGGCATTGCGAAGTCCGAATGGCATGACCAGGAACTCGTAAGTCCCATACCTGGTCTTGAAGGCTGTCTTGTAGACATCCTCCTCTGCCATCTCAATCTGGTGATAGCCAGATTTGAGGTCGACTTTGCTGAACACTGTGCAGCCCTGCACCATGTACAGGAGGTCATCGATCCTAGGAAGTGGCTCAGTACTCTTCCTAGTGATCTTGTTGAGACCCCTGTAGTCAATGCACATCCTGAACTCGCCGTTCCCTTTGGGTACAAAGAGAACAGGTGCACCGAATTCAGATGTGCTGGTTCTGATCCAGCCTTTGCTGGTCAGGGTCTCAAACTGCTTTCTGAGCTCCTCAAGCTCAACAGGGGACATCCTGTAGATGCGGCCCTTGGGAGGAACCGCTCCAGGCAGCAGCTCGATGTGATGCTTGGTTGGCCGGTTGGGAAGTCCAAAGGGCTCCTGCATCAGATCAGCATACTGATCTACCACCTGCTGTATCTCAGGAGGACAGGAAACAGGGGGAACATCTGTTTGCTTGACCAGAGCAATAAACAGGCGCTCATGGTGGTACTGGCGAGAGAGAGCATGGAACTCCCTCGCTCTCAGACAGTAGCAGGAGGTCTTAGGGTGGTGATCAGCAGCAATCATGCATTGCTGATACAACCCCTGACTGTCTGGTAGTTCAACTCTAGGGATCTGCCAGTCGATCCTAGGGTTGACTGCCCTTAACCACTGCATGGAGAACACCAAGTCAAAGGGAAGCTCAGGGAAGATGTAAAAGTTCAAACTATGTCTGACTTTTCCTGCAGTATCGAAGGTCACAGGGATGCCCTTGACCTTCTCCCTGATGCTGATCACTGTAGAGTCACCAATCCGCACTTGCAGCGGCTGCTGCAACTGCTGAACTTTCATACCCAGATGCAGTTTTTTGACTGCACTGGGGGATATGAAGTTCCGGGTGGCCCCGCAGTCCAACAGCCCAGTGATCCTGGTGCGGTTGATCAGTGGCCGAAGCATGATGAGTTCAGACAGGCCCTTCTTCTTCTGTTCTTTCAAATGGAAGAAGAAAGCAGCAATGGACTGAAGCTCATCCTGCCCCGGGTCCTGATCCGGGTCAGGATCCTCATAGGAGAAGGATGCTGCCCGCGCAGTTCCCAAACACACATCATCCTCATTAGTCTCAACTGAAACAGCTGCAGATTCACCTACCTGAGTAGATGAAGATGCAGCACTGGAGGGAACTGCAGTCCCCAAGGTATGTTTCAGTTTTTTGACTGACTGTCTGGGCCTGGCATGTAAGGGCAGTCCTTCAGGAAGTGCTGGCCCTCACACCTCAGGCAAACCCCTCTCTCCTTTCTTCTTCTCCAGACTACCTCCTGGATCTTGAGGTCATGCCAGGGGAGTGTGGAGGGGTTGAGAGGTTCAGCTGGCATGTGGACGTCTCGAGGCAGATTAGGGCGTTGGGAAGAGGAAGGTCGATGTCCCTTATCCTTCCCCTTAGTAGTGGCTGAGGCTGTGGAGGGAGAATATTTTTTCTGCGCTTGCAGAGCTCCCAACACAGCCTGAGTCACCACTGCTGCAACATCTGTCTCAATAGCAGATCCGGTCCCACCTGAAGGCGCATCAGGCTGGGAATCGGTATCTGATCCTGAGGCAGACCCCGCGTGAGTAAAGGCTGCCTTTCCCCTTTTGTTGCCTTTAGGGAAGGCACCTTTCCTCCTGTCAGAGGTTGGGGCCTGGACATGGAGCTTGGCCTCCATTTCCAGGGCTGCACGACCAAAGGACCTCCAGTCCTTGTACCCAGCGCTGTAAAGTGCAACAACGAACTTCTCAGGCGCTGCCCTGCAAAAGCTGGTCAACATATCATCAGGTGCCATGACCAACCCAGGGGTGGAGGTGAGCTGCTCGAACTCAGCAAACAAGGCCTGTAGGGTACCGCTGTACCGCTGCTGTCCCAGGCGAGCAATCCTGTCAGCAGCCTTGCGGGCCCGCTCCTTGTCTGCAAACCGGTCCTCCAGGGCCTGCAGAAGTCTGTCTACCCCCAACCCAAAGGCCCAGTCCTCCATGGACTGCTGCAGACTGCTGGAAGTTGAGGTGGCCCACTTCAGCGCAGGCCCTTCCAGCAGCCCCAAAACAGTTGCCACCTTGGTCTGTTATGCACAGACAAAGCCCCTCAAGTAGGCTCTGGTCCCAGAAGCCCAGTCCCCAACATCAGCCTTGGGGTCATCGCCCCTGAACTTGTTGGGGGCAGGGATCTTGGGACCTCTGTCTGCTGCAGTCACAGCAGCATAGGTGGCCTTTACTGAGGCCTTCTGGGAAGGGGTAGATGACCGGGAGGAATGTGCAGATCCAGCATGGGATGGAGGAGGGGAAGGAGGTTGTGAAGGAGGAGGAGAGGGTTTGGGTTGCAGCAGAGGGAGTTGAGGAGTAATCAGCTTGGCGGCTGCCAGCTAAGCAGACAAGCCCTGGATAGAGTCCAGGATCTTAGACTGCTGAGCTGACAGCTCGTCAACCCGACGCTCCAGCCGCACAAAACGGTCATCCCAGTTTGTGAACTGGGAGCTGGTGATCCTGTGCTCCAGCAAGATCATCTCAGCCATATGCTTGGTGATCTAGGAACAACGATCATCATTGAGTGACCTCTCTAGCTGCTGCAACAGATACTCCCGTCTGGAGTCATCTGTTGCAGCCTCTAGCTCAGCAGCCTCCTGCCGTTCCAATTCGGCTACTCTAGCCTGTTGCAGTTTGAGTTGTTCTTCTGCCTCCTTCTTCAGCTTCTGAGTAGCGGTCAGAGGTGGAGGGGGTGTAGTGGAGGCAGAAGGTTGTTCACCTTCGGCCTTCACCACAACCTCTACCTGTGGCTGCTGCTCCTTTCCCTGATCAGACATTTCCCAGTTCAAATAAAACCAAAAATAAAATAACAGCAGACAGGGCTGCAGCGATACTCAGATCCTGCAGATACACTGGAATGGTTGCAGCAACTCAACACTGGAATAGGTGGGTGTACAGGCAATTAACGGTCTGGGTTAGAAGGGTGTCTCTGGGGTCAGGTGTCAGACAGACTGTAAGTCCAGCAAAATCAGTCACACGATTTCCTTTTACTGACCCTGGACCACACTGGAGTTAGTACAGTCACTCCACTACTTTTCCAGAGACCCACTAGAACTTTCAACGCCCACTAGAAAACAAGTGTGATCAGTGAGAATGATAGAAATGGTTAGTACAAACACAGAGAGATCAAATACCACACGCGATGCAGACAAATACCCAGTATCCTGACTTGAACTCACTTTCAGACCCTTAAACTCACTTTCAGACCCTGATGACTCTGGCGGCCATACCCTAAGGTATGGCGAATTCCAGTTTTCACTGTATCCAGTGAAATACTCAAAATCCAAATCTGCGATTTGACAATACTGACTGTTTTCAATTTGCGATTCACTGGGGACTGACAGAACTGAATTCTGACGGACAAAATTAGAGTTATGACTGACCCTAGATAGCACAGGCTAAAAATAGACTCAGCACAAAACTATAATTCACAGTATCACTACCTTTTCAGTACAGAATTCACTGCTTGAGCATCCCAGGACAATCGCAATACAGTATAGCAGTCACAAAACCAATTTGGACCAGAAAGAGTCAACAGAGGATGAGATATGAGCAGAGAGAGGTAGGGGAGAGATGGCTATGGCTGTCATGCAGTCTGCGACTCTGCGATTTTCATATCCAGACAGACAGATAATATTTCACTAATCTACTACTATCTGGATCGCAATACAGGTAGGTGCATGGAACGGACTCACTTTCAGCGAATCTTGCAGGAGATGATGAAGGTCTGGCTATGGCAGATGAAACCCTTATCTCGCCAATTTCTTCCAGAGCTTCTTCCTGATGCTTCCACGCACAGAACTGCTTCAAAATCGTTGATCCTCCTCAGGGTCCTGTAGCGCTGCACTCCCTTACTCCAGATACTCTGTATCTGGTCCTGTGGCACCCAACTCGCCAACACCAAAATATCTCGCCACAGTGTCATGTACCCGCTGATGCTAAAAATAGCCCCAGATGGGGTTATTTCTCCTGGAGATTGATATATTGCATCAATCTCTATCAGCGCCACCCAGGGATGATGCCGCTCAGGGTTCCCTGATGTCCTCAGGGGTAACTCGCCACTCTGGGGTAATTCGCTGTATCACCCTCAGGGTTGGCTATGGCGAATTAGCCCTGTACTCGCCACTTCTTGCCAAGCGCCCTGACAGGCTCAGTGCGCTTGTTCAGTGCAGCCACTGAACACTTGAATTCACCGCTGAAAGTCTTCTTCCCTGCTGACTCAGTACTGGGGAAGATGAATCGCCATGAAACTCTCGCCAGTATATCGCCAAGATGAAGAAGATGCCTCTGTGCGCTCAACCCTCAGTGCTCCAATTCCAATCTCGCTCCGATACCAACTGTTATGAACTTGGTTGCCTGACGAATTTTATCGCCACTCACACACAGACAATCTCACACATGCCCATACATGCATAAGAGAAGGGGAGAGAGGA